GAGAGTGGTAAAGCTCATGCTGTCCAGGCAGGAGAGTAAGAGGAAAGGACTCAGGCTTTGCTGACCCTGAATAGCATTTTTTTTTACCTGCTGTAATGTATTTCTCATTAATTAATTTATCTGATCATATATACTAATTAAATTGGCAAAAAAACTATAATAAATCTAAAGATTAAAATAAGAAAGTAGATACTTCACCTCTTGCAATAATATTCCAGTATCTTACTCCAATTATATTGCCTGAGGAATCAGAACAAAAAACCCTTCCTGTACTTCACGATCCTCACTAACAGCTTAAAAAGGAACTCTGCTTTAAAGTTTTATTTTTATAAAGTTATGTATGTATTGTTAGGGATATACGTAAATAAAATATTCTTATCCCCAAAGCAAGAAGCCCTCGAGAACACAACTCTACGTAAGAAAATTCTATTTTGAAATTAAGAGAAATATACTTGCCATTCACTAATCTTAGATTTAAAAACTTATCTTTAAGAACTACATATGGTTCAACTCTAACTAAACAACAAATATGGCTGACAGATACAGAAACAAATTCTTTTATCAAGAGATACAAGTAAAAAACCATACAAATGCTATAAGATGGAATGATCAGGGAAATTTTGCAAAGGCAATGCTTTCTCTTTCTCCTTATAAAAAATTTCTGATTCTTGAGCTCAGATTTTAAAAAGTATTATATATCTGCAGAAAAAAAGTGGGAATACACAAATATATATTTTCATAGTGAATATCAATATTTTTCCACCAGCAATCTATTTTGAACTTACGAAGATCTCAGAATTTGAGGCCTCTGAAACTGCCCTAGGTTTCATCAGTGAAAGTAACACATTATAAGACCATCCACATTAACAACAAATACCTACATTAGCCACAGCATGTAAAAATTTGCTTTGGGGGAGATAAGGATGCAATTGACATTGACAGTGAAAGGAAGAGATACATAAGAAAAGGGAAAGAAAAAAAGTAAAAAGATTAGTAGCGTTAAATAAAAGCATATGTCATGTGTGTCTTTCAGGATAACTTGAAGGTAAGATATGGAATAAATAGTAGTTTCTGAATTCTTTTCTCAAAGGGGAAAGAATCAGTAGTTTTCAGGTCATGACATTTTAACTTTCAGTCGAGCTTTCTGAGGTATAAGCAGAAACCTAGGAAAAAAAATTTTTCATGTGTATCAACTTTAAAGAATAGTATTATTAATAAAAATAAATAAATGATAATAAATGGAGTTATGTCCAACTTAAAACCATGTAAAATTTCAACTTGGTCATTACCTAGAAAAAACTAAATTACATAGAACATACACTAAGATGATCAATGTCTTTGGCTGGAAACTGGCAACCCACAATCTGATTCAAATAAAGACAACTAAAGGCAGGTTTCAAAATACTGAGAGGATTGACAAGTAGTAGTGTTGAGAAAACGCTGTAATGTATTTCCTGGCTAGGATTAAGGACAATTAAAATACCAAATTAAAGATCATAAATATAGATCATAAAGACCAATATTTTAAAAGTAAATTATAGTCAGAATTTAATAATTTATTAGTGCTTTAGACATTGTCAGTTCTAATGTATCTAGAATATGTATTTTTTCAATAGTGCTCATATAAAAATAACTATGTATTTCATCTGCGTAACTGACCCAAATATGTTAATTCTAACAAAAGGAAATTGAGCATTTTAAAATTATGTCACAGCTTCTGAAATTCTCAGGAGAGGTAAAAGCATATATAATTATTTCAATAAATGTATATTGCTAATTTCTGAAAAAGTTTTTCTTTTCTGTTAAAGAACAAATATGTACAAAAGAGAACTCTAAAGGAATCTGGTATATCCATGTTAAGTGATATGTTACACATGTAAGATGGCAAAGCAATTTACCTACATGAATTGTTTTGAAAATTTAATGCTTTATTGGGAATTTTTTTAATGCCTAACATTATTATTAAAAGTAACAAGAATCACAGTAAAATCATAAAAATAATCTATAAATTAGCATGACTGATCATTTTTTTAAATTTCAGTATATTTATAGCCTAAGAATAGATAGCTTTTGCCAAATTGTCTAACGCTACCTAGTCCACAGATATCTACATTTACTATATTCCACAGTACATGTATTTAAAAATCAATATATTTATATACACATTTGAATATACAAACATTTTGTGTGCTATACATGATGTAAAGTAACAAGCTGCTTTTTTTTTTTTTTTTTTAAGACTATAATCAAATAGTGAATCAGCTATAACTGACCAAAACATTTTAGGATTACTCTTGTAAGCCCCACAAGAAAAACAGAGTCACTAACTTTATAATCAAGACTATCCTTTCACCAAAAACTGTATTATAAATTTTTAAGAGCCAGGGTAGAAGAATGTAAATAATAGTTGTTTCAGAATTAGATATAGTTTAACAGGAATCCTAACTCTAACATTTGTTAGATTTGCTACAGTGGATAAGTTTCTTAAATATGATGAACCTCAATTTCCTCTGCAAAAAGAGAACACTATCATTAACTTCACTCAGTACCTGGGTGGTTCAAATCATGATACACAGTATCATGGTTGAGACTTACGGGTAAAGTTTCAAATCTGAAGTCCTTTCTCCACTTTCTTGAACTTATTAGTTGTGTGACCTTGGGCTAGTCACGTAATCATTCTATATCTCAGTTTTCTCATACAACCAACTTCAACTTCATAAACAAGTTTTCAATACCTTAAGGAACTGAAACTTTTCCTGGCACAGTTTCTGGCACATGAAGACATTAAACATTACATATTATAAACATAAAGCACTCAACATAGTGCCAGACACAAAAAAAATCCCTTATTAAATCTTAGTTTCCTAAACTAAGTTTTTTTAAGTTTCAAATGACGTACTATATCTAAAACTCAAATTCACCCCAGAAAAAAAAGATATGTCATAAAGATGAGAAAAAGACCATTTCAAATGTGTTAAAGGTATTCACAAAATGAATACCTCTAAGGTTGTATGTAATGTCAACAGTTCTGGAATAAGTGCACAACCTCCCAAGTTGATAACTGGAATGATCAACATTCTCTGGCTATAAAAATACTGAAACTTTACAAAATGATTGATCAATCACACTAATTTATAGATTCAGCTACTATCCTAATATTGGTCATACACATTTCTATGAATGAAATGACTCTCTAAAGTTGAATTTTTTCTTTCTAACAGATGCTTTGACAAAGAACTTCAACTCAATATTAAAATCTTAAAAAGAACTAAAAGCTTCAAAGACTGCTTAACAAAAAAATTTTTTAAAGATAGTAAAGAGTTCTGGATTTTTTAAAAGTATTATATCTCCAGAATATATAGCCTGAATTTTATTTCAGCTTCTTTGCCTGAAGTACACAATTTTCTTGACTAAATGACTGGCAAGCATCAAATCAACTGAACACTCAAAAGGATAGTATTAAAATTTTACTGAAACTAGATATGTAGAAGCCTGAATCCATAAGAACAAATGTAAATCAGACTGATCATTTACTAATTATAGAACCATTAGCAGTTTTCTAAACCTTTGTAGCTTCAGTTTCCTCATCTGTAAATTATAGATAATTATTGTTTCTACTTTTGGGCTTGTTAAAGGATTAAATATTACAGGGACAGACTTAACTCCTGGCAAATAATAAGCCCTCAAAATTTTATGTGACAAAATCTTAGCTGGCAATGCTACATACATCAAGAAATGATCTCTCCTAATAATATAGCTTTGAGAATAGAAAAGAATATGCCTTAAAACATAATGCAATTGGGCATAGTGGCTCACTCCTGTAATCCTAGCACTTTGGGAGGCCCAGGTGGGTGGATCACCTGAGGTCAAGAGTTCAAGACCAGCCTGGCCATCATGGTGAAACCCCATCTTTAAAACAAAACAAAACAAAACAAAACAAAAAACATAATGCAATTTGACAAAATTCAATTCAATAAAATTGACTCCAGATTTACACCAAGAAAAGAAATTACACATGACAAATATCTAAAGTTACTTTTATTACTTAATTTATTTGGGCAAAATATTATAAGCACATAAAATACTCTTTAAAATTACGATGGCCTTAAGAGACATGGAGTTTAAAATTCCTTTTACATTAACCAAAAACACTAAAATTCCACTCTATTTTAATACTAGGAAAATACAACCAAGAAAACAGGAAGCATCTCTCTAAAAGAAGAGGAAAATGCATTTTGAACTTAGAGAATTCAAAAAGTTACAAATGGTAACAGTGTCAGGACTGAGCAATATCTAGCTTCAAGACCAGAGCTCACACATTTCTTAAAGCAAGAAAATCTAAGAAATACTAGTGTCAGGGAATCCCTTATTCTCCCACTGACTTACTACATGAATCTACACAAATCATATGGTCTCTTAAGTGTCAAGTATTTCAACATTAAACAGAATTCATGCTGGTCACTTCTCTCACAGGGATATCAGAATATTTTTAAATGAACTCAGGTCACCTTGAAAAAGAACTAGTTTTAAAATACAAAGAATTATTATAAATGACAACTGTGAAAAAAGAAAAAATTTTGCTTAAAAAGTCCACCTTAAGATAATTTTTAAAGTCTATATAAGACCATAAATTACCACCAAACCTAACCTAGTATGCCCAGGATATTAAAATAAGCATGTTCAACTGAACAGTTAATTGTCAGACTTCTATAAAGGTTCCTCGTCAGTTATTTCCCATTCACTTTTATGGCAAGTGAATGTGATAAACAGAATTAAAGTTACATTTCTCTAACAGGAATTCTTGTTTAATTCAGATTCCCTAATCGCTTCACATAAATAGAAATCTTAATTTAAAATTTTAGAATTTCTTACAAATTATGCTTTTCCTAATAAACACCAGAAAGGAGGACAAAATGAAATTATATAAAATGCAAACTCCTGGTTTTTATTTACTCTTATATTATTAATACATTTTATTTTGAGAAACTAAAAATGCCACAATGGAGTATATCAAACATGTAACACAGATATGTTCAAATATTTCTGACAGTTTGATGGTGGACTGGTACCAAAAAGTTAAATACGAAATTTGTTGAAGAAGCCTTAGAAAATACATTTTTCAAATAAATTTAAAAAAAAAAGAAAAGAAAAAAAAAGAAAAAGAAAATACATTTTTCAGTGGGGTAGTCTGGCTCCAAGTAAAGAAAATTTTGAATTGGTACAGCTTTGCTCATATTTTTGAAATTTAATAATGACTACTATGAAGAACCAAATTTACTGCCATAGTGAAAACTCACTTTTCATCCCTGAAAAGAATCTTATGTAGACAGTTTTTCTTTTTTCAAGTAACATACAACTTTTCCTTAAGAGCAGACAATATTATAATAGATCTCTAGAACAGGTTCAAAAATGTTCTCAAATAACTTTAGTAAACAAATTGTTGAATGACTTTAAAAACACACTTTTCAAACACTGGAAATTATTTATTTGATGTTCAACTCTGACTTACTTTCATTATTCACTTGAAATCTCTTCACATAACAGAAGTTATTGATAACTCTTCAGAGTCAAGATAAACAGTAAGTGATATTGTTGAAATTTCCTTTAGGTATACTGGAAAATATTTCCCCAAATAATATAACCAGGATTACAAGATTACTGATCTGATCTCTCCTTTCACTGAATTTAAATTTTTTAAAAATGGAAATAGATCATTAGCCACTGGTGAATATTCCAACCAACAGAGGGGGAGCAGAATGCATAGATTATACTCTTTAGGGAAACAAATTATTTTCTCCAACTAATTTACTAGTTTAAATTTTACAATTGAATTTTACACAATGTTTTCTCCTTTAAAAATGACGTATTTAACTGGTCTGAACCAAACAAGACATATTTTTAAATTTAAAGAAATTTTAACTGTAGATATCATAATGAAAGCTACCACACAACCTATATTACTTACAAATTACTAAATATGTAGAATTGGGAAAACAAATTGGGAAGAACTAATTCACTATAACTTAGTTCCAAAGTCTCAAGAAAAAAAGAATCAGTCATATAAACCCAATATCTAACGCACTTATTCAAATATCTTCCTAAGAAGACAACCTCTAAAAATAAGTTGCTTCAGTTCATGAAAACTAAGCAAGCAGAACTCCTCTTTTCATTATCTTTAGGAGAAATATGTTTATCCCTTGATATACATCTTAGTATTTTAATTAAATAAAAGTTGTAGAGATAATCACAAGAATATATGAGGGCCTTTAAAACATTTATATGAAGTCCTTACCACCCCATTACCAAAAAAGCAAACCCTCTGCTTTCTTAAGATGTGTTCTCCCCGTCTGCATTCCCTCCCTGGCATGCCCCCTACTCACACACCCCCCACCCGCAGTAGGCCTGAGGCCCCGCAGCAAACAGTGTCTAACAGGAGCAGGCAGCACAAAGACAGGAATGGGAGATTAGTGGGAGGGAGGGAGGCCGGGATTGGGGCTCAGCAGGAGCTTCAGGCTTTTTAAAATTCAAACTGCTCCCTGACCAATACAAATCACGGACACGCTACTGACTACTACACGGATTTATAGCATTAAAAACATGCCTAGTACGTGACAGCTATATTAACTTCATTCTTTTAAGCATTTATCCGTACATTTGCAGGAAATGTGGAACAATTTATTGTAAGCAGGACGCTAAACTAAAAAATAACCTTCACAAAGTAACTCACTCTACAGTGACAATAATTTAATGACACAAAAAATTTGAACCAATGTAACATAAATTAGTAAAACAAGAGATTTTGCTGAGCCATGCCGCTTGATTTTAACCAGTGAAAGTTTTCCTTCAGCGAATATGAAACAAAGTATCCAAATAGTGTAACCCAGGTACATTTTCCCAGCAATTTGCCTAACTGAGGAATTTTTAATTGGTGTTTCCCCCTTATACCAACTTATATTACAAACGCCTCCATAAACAAGCTCGAAACACTTAACTTACTCATGAACTAGAACTTGTCAAGTTAGAACTGACATTTTTCTCCAGCATTTACAGATACATTTGACCTATTAAAATGACACCTCTCTCATTACACAGTCAAACATCATGGCACAAACAGCCAATGACAATCCTGGGACCTCAAGAAGAACTGCCCTGACATGAAAGGATGGCACCTTCTACAATTTTTCAACCTCCCAAGGATTTTAAGTATAACTTAATTTTTTCTTCTTCCTTTTTTTTTTTCTTAAAAGAAAATTGGTTTTACCCGTATCTCAGCACAATTCTGAGAACACTTAAAATTTCTTTTATGCTCCTACACCTTTTGGTCAGGAAGCACCTGAGTGTTTTATGTACAGTCGTTTAAAATGCCCTTACATAACGCATACAAATAGAAAGTGGCAGAGTAAACCTGTCAAGTACTTTATATTTGTCTTTGAATAAAAAATCCATGTGCAGCAACACACTGTCAAACAACAAGATAAAAAGCTCTTGGAGGGGGAGATGTGCAGTGTCTACCACAGTATGGTTTTCCGTATTAAATATTCATGCGGACGATTTAATTCTTTAAAAAAGAAAATGAGTCTTTATGAACTTTCCAACGTCCAAACAAGTTTTACAAAGAGAAAGAATTACCTCGGGATCCGTGTCTGAGTATTTACGTTTGTCTCACTAACTGAAACTACTTCCTCCCTTCATGGGGTCACAGGGGGAAGAAGGGGGGTTGTTTGTTTCACTGGGACGTTCCCCACTCCCGGACCGGGAAAGTTGTAAATATGGGGACGAACGGGGCACATTTGCTGTTAGTTGTATTGTTTCCGCCTCCTCACTAGCTACGGCTCCTCTCCCGGGCGAGGCCTGTCACCGACCAGCAGTCGCTCCGCTCAGCCCGGAGCTCTCCTAATCCCCGAGCTCAAGTAGATTCCGCTGGCCCGCGGCCTGCACTCTCCGCCGGGCCTACGCCTCCCCGGCCGCCCGGCAGGAGCCCAGTCCCCGCCACCGGAGCCGGCCGGGAGAGGGTACAAAACCACCGCCACCCAAGGCGGCTGCCACCAGAGAGGAGCGAACTCTACACTCGCCCGTGGAAGAGACCTGGGGCCGCTAAGGAAACGGCGGGGAGGGGAGCGAGGAGGAGAGACGCTGAGGACCTGGCGCCGCCGCCGCCGCCGCCGCCGCCGCCGCCGCCGAAATAAAGAGCAGGAATTTACCTGGGCGAATCGGCGTCTGAATCCAAGGGGAGGCCGAGGCCGCTGTGGCGAGAGACTATAATCCGGGCCGGGAGTGGGGGTGGCTACGGCTCCTCTTCCGTCTCCTCAGTGCGGGGAACATGTAGAGCCGGGGGGAGACCAGCCGAGAAGACAAATCGTTGCTTCTTCTTCCTCCTCCTCCTCCTTCTCCCACATAGAAACACTCACAAACACCCGACCAGGGGCCCGAGCTACCGGGGGGGCATCGCCGCGGGCCCGGGAACCAATCCTCCTGCCGGCGGGGGCGTCCCTCCCTGCGGCTTGGTGGTGTCGGGTGAGTCGGTACCGACGGAGGGAGGGGGGGGAGGGTGGGGGGAAGGAGCCCTGTGTGTGTCTCTCTCTCGTTCCGTCTCTCCCTCTCAGAACAAAATGCCGACCGGAAGTGCAGCTGCAGGAATGACTCCCTCCGCCGGCGCCAAACACTAACAACCACCCCCTCTTCCCCACTCCACTTCCGCCACCGCCGCCGCTGCCGCCGCCGCCGCCGCCACTGCCACTGCCACTTGGGCTCGCGTCCTCGGCCGCGCCGCGCTCGGGCCCAGCCGGGGCCAGCAGCCGGGCGGCGGCGGCTCTCCTCTACGCCCTTCTCCTCAGGGCGGCCGTGGATGTTGCCAGTATTGTCGAAGCTTCAGAGCTACGTTTGCTCCGCGACACCGGCGGGCCGGCTCTCCCCGGTCTTTATTTTCCTGGAGGCGGATGGGAGCGAGGCCTGAGTTCGGCAGTGGTCGTGAGCGTGGGGGGCACTGAGGCCCGGACGTGCTCGCAGGTCGCGGACGGCGGCGGCTGAAGGCCGCGCTGGCGGTCCCAGATCGTCGTTAGCTTCAGGGAGCGGAGCTCTGGGCGGCCCCACAGAGGACGCCCGCGATTCGACGGCGATGGTGCCCGTTTTAAATGGTGTCCCTGCAGCCGAGTGGATGGATGGATCGTACTCTTCTTTTGAGGCCGGGACCTTAACGCCCTTCTGCGCGGTATTTCTGCGGAGTAAGAACGCAGCCCTTGGAGGTGAAGACGACTCTCGACTGGACTGAATTGGAATGGCGTTTGTGATGCGTTTATTTCTGGAAATACGCGGTCTCCGCTGCTCTTGCTTTTTGTCGGCGGAGGTTTGGGTTCTTCTCTAACCGTCGTGATAAAGGCCTGTAGGCGACGCTACGCCAGCGCGAAGCTGTGCTGCGGCGGCCCCGGCGCCCCGCGCCCCCCTCTAGGTGTGGGTGGAGCCGAGCACGCGGGGAGAACCGCCGGCCCCTACTCGGCCACCGGCGCTGGCGGGCGACCGGCGGGCCTGCGGCCGGCTGATTTCAAACATCGTTTTCCTCTTTCGGTTTGGAACACTGAGGCGCTGGACAAGGCTGGAATACAAAACGTGATTATACGTGCAGTACCATGCTTGTTGTAGTTTTTAAATTGTAAAACAAGAAGTAACTCCGTCGTTCCACAGATCTCTATTAAATTTGTGTAAATTAAAAGGGGGCTATTCTTCAGGTTAAAAAGTGCAGTAGGTAAGCGGATTTTTATTCGACCGGGACGAAATTCATGTTGTATGACTCGTATTATTTGTGTGTGTACCAGTGGGCTAAAAGTAATTAGGAAAACTTGCTTAGATCATTCCTTTTGCCTCAGGCCACTCAGGGGGCCAAGATCCCGTCATTCCTCTGCTCTGGGCCCTGCGACGGCTTCCCGTCTTGAGGGGAGTGAGCGAAAGCCTTGACGGAAGTCCCCGCGCGCCGGGGGTGGTGGGGGCGGGCCTGCCCTGGCATCCTTGCGATGAGGACTGTGTCCTCGTCGTTCCCTCTGCCAGGTTCTTCCCTGAGCGCCCGTAGGGCTTGCTTCTTCACCTTCAGGGTTTTGCACAAGTGTCACTCTGTGCTTCTGCGGCCACTTTTAAACTGCAGGTTCACTAGCTCCGTTCTCATTTTTTCTTTTGGACAATCTACATATCCGTACATGTTTATGTTGATATCTCTCCTTCCCTAGTGAAATGTAAGCTCTAAGAGGACAAGAGGTTGTGTTTTTCTGCACTGGTGTTGTGGCCAGCTCCTGGAATGTCACACAGTAGATGCGTAGTATTTGGTTAATGAATGAATGACGATTATAAGGGCCTCGACGCTCCCCATTTCTGTCTTTGATATGTACTTACGTATACTTACATGCTTCAGAGAGCTTTATAAAAGCTTTAAAGTTTATAACAGAATTCTATAAACATAGATTGCTTCTAAACGTTGGAAAGCCCTCCACAACACCAGAAACCCACAAACAAGGGATAAAATTGGTTTTTAGGCTTCTGTAAATGGGAAAGCCCGAGGACAGTGCATCAAAAATGATCATATCCATACTGGGCGGTTGGCTTTGCTCTCCTGAGTCTCAAACTGCATTCCTCATCTTGTCGTCCTCTGTCTTGCAAAATAGATTAAAAGTGTGAGAATTTATTTGGTTGGCTCAGCCTAAATCCAGCACTATTGGAAAAGTTCATTCAGCAAGTATTTATTGGGCACAAATGGGTACCAGGCACAGTGATTCAAAAGGTGTGTGTTTCTGAGGCTAGGACTGCATATAAGACCTTACATAAAGGACCACATAGGGCTACTTTGGTTGCTACTCAATTATGCTGTCAAGCAAAGCAAATGCTAGTGAGATTTATTTTTAGTTTTCTTCTGAAGAAAAGGTTCAGTTAAAGCTGAGGTCAGGCTTAGTGTGGATATTTTAATTCATCATTTAGTTTGCTGTTTGCTTACGCTTAGGGTAGCACTAGATTTACTTAATCATGATTTTTCAGTACTATAAAACAAAACGTGGGAAACTGTATTTCCTAGTTGCCGGAAAAGTAGGCTTTTTAAAGTAAAATGAGTAAACATATCGGTAAACTAGAAGCTATGCAGTAAGGCTTTGGCTGTGGTATTCTGAAGTTTCATATTTCGTGTATTGAATTTTTGGACAAGAAAAGCCTTGATAGGTATTTTATAACCATTAATACAATTAATGAAACATTGTTTAGTAAATCCAATATTATTTTTCCTATTAATCTTCAGAACAGCTTTAATACAGATGGCTCAGAATGTGTTTTTCACTGTTTCAAAATGCCAGTATTTTCATTTGCTAATAGAAGCACAATTATTTTCTTGTCTGCTTTCTTAAATGTTACTGGTAAACTTTTACATGTCCAGGTAACTGCAGCTGCTACAGGCAGTCTACTGTGGAAAGTCTTGGTATTGTTGTGTTATTTAATTTAAAATGTTTTGTTTCTTCCCATTATTGAGTACTTATTAGTTGCTAATTAGCTTTATGCTAGGCACCTCATACATGGTAGTGAATGAAAACACAACACTACTTCATTAAGGGTTTTAACTTGTATATAGTTTATACCACTTTTTTTTTCCAGATTATAGAATTAAATAAATTTCCCTGCATATCACAGCATTTCTCTATTAAATTAAATAGTATTTTGCTTGTGTAAATTTAAGTATCCAAATTAAGTCCTTACTTAGAATCTGTTAATCTTAGTGTTTTCTTCATTTCATTGCCTTAGTGTTGTGGGGTTTGTTTTGTTTTGTTTTGTTTTGTTTTGTTTTGTTTTGTTGCTTAATATTTTCCCCAATACCATCCATTTGTTTTGCTCTTACATTTTTAAGTCTTTTATGTTCCAAATCAGGTGACTTATGTGCTTGACTTGTCCATTTTAGTTTGGAGGATAGCTCAATAAACCTTTATTCTGACTTTAAATTGCCTCCTTGCTTTAAGAACTGAGTTGCATGACTCAGTTTTCTTTGCTAGGAATATCTCTGGATAGTCTTACATGTATTCTAGATCAATGAATTGCAGAAGATTTTATTAAAAATTTTAAATGGATTTCAAGTATAAACTATCTGTATCAAATGTCATCACCAGTAATTGCTACATCTGAAAAATTGTGAATTGATATTTTTATTGAAGAATATTTATCTTTAAGATAAATGTAATTTGCTATAAAATGATAGTAATGAAAAATTTTAGAAAATCATTTTCTTTTCACTATTTTATTCCTGCCAATTATTCTTTGTTAGTGATAAATTGTCTCTTATGGGAACAAATTTGTTAAAGTTAGAAAAAAAACTGGTAGTATATGTATGCTTTATAGATTAGACTCTACCAGAATTATTTCATATTTAGAATAATTAAATTGCTTTTAGGTTGATGGATGACTTAAGAAAATGATGAAGAGTTAACTAAGGATACTGATTTTTAAGGCAGAGCTACAAAATTAACGAATGCCTTAACACTGTAAATATGTTCCTGTTTCAAGTTTTCAAAGTAAATACCCTAATCAAATTTGAAAATAGTATTTATGGAGTTTATTCAAGATAGATTATCCATTTTGTTAAAATTATAGAAATGAATAGTTGTTTTCCTATGGATGCCTTTTTTCATTTTGGCCTATTCTGGTCCTTTAAGAACAAGCTTTGTCCTTTCATTAATACTTCTCACCTATAATTATGAATTTTCTCTATACTTGTAGATTTTATACACACCATCTATTTATAATCCTATGACACTCCTATATTGTTTATGTTTTTTTGTATCTATGCCTTATGTTCCTAAATCAAAGTGACCAGTTCCATGTTATACTAAAAGTTTCACTATGTAATGCATAGCGAATTACACATAGGGAAGGGCCTCAAAAAATACGCTTCTGATATATTTTAATGTAAAATTATTTAAGATCATAAAGTTTCATGAAAGCCTAATCTTCCTGGAACCTACACATATTCTGGATGTGAACCAGAGTTAAACTATTCAAGTATTTTAATACTGAACTAATCTGGAAAAACAACAGTTAAAAAATGACTGTATTTATGAAGGAAGAATACAAAATCTATTAAAAATTTAAAACATTTAAAATAGTTATGAAGGGAGGCTTATGGTGCTCATTTTAACAGCTCTCTTGAGTAGGTTAGCTTGTAGTCAAAGCATCTGCTCCAAACCAGTGTTTTAAACTGTGGATTATAGTACCACTATGGTCATGAAATTAATTTGTTGTGTTATGACTAGCATTTTTTATTTAAAACATAGAAGATAGAAGAGTACATCACAGATGGTAAAGGTATATGGTTTTAAGTAAACATTTTTTCATGTGTATATGTGCTGGGTTACCTTGTAAAATATATTCCTTATAGTGGGTGACAGGCCAAAAAAAAGTTTGTTTTTATTTTTAAAAATATACATTTCAGATTTTCCTTAGAAAATGGGGGAAAAAAGGAATGTTAGAAAGATCTGACTGCCCATGAACTACTGAAGGATTTTAGAGGAACACCAGGGTATTTTGGAGATCCGATACTGGTTTCAGAAAGGTAATGTTAAGATAAAGAGTAGGAAATAAAATATGTTGTTAGTAGAAATGTGAAATATGGTTAAAGTTGTGAAGAGGAATTATTTTTCTAGTGGACCTACATTTGTTGTGTTTAGATCTGTGACTACTATTGATCTGTTGTAGCACATTTTCTGATCTAAAATGTCCAATACAGCACAATAATAAACATGGGGCAAAATACATGTTTGTTTCTATTTCTTCCCACCTTCCCTTCAATCTTAAAACAAATGTTTATTAGTAAGTCAGGGCAAAGCAGTTTCTTCTTTCACAGAGTAATTATCTTAGGAACAGCTTATTTCCTGAAAATGATGGCAACTCCTTTCTCTCTCTGAAAAATAAACCTTCAGTAAGGTTTTTCTCTCTAGCCAAAGTAAATAATAATTTATTAAATAGGTAACTCTCATTCACCATCCAACTCATTCTATATATTTAAATAAATGTACTTGTAATTGTGTACAGGATTTAAAAGAGAGAAACTTAGGAAGGAAGGAAGGAATTGTGTATAAGAATTTAAAAGGGCCGGGCGCGGTGGCTCACGCCTGTAATCCCAGCACTTTGGGAGGCCGAGGCGGGTGGATCACGAGGTCAAGAGATCGAGACCACCCTGGTCAACATGGTGAAACCCCGTCTCTACTAAAAATACAAAAAATTAGCTGGGCATGGTGGCGCATGCCTATAATCCCAGCTACTCAGGAAGCTGAGGCAGGAGAATTGCCTGAACCCAGGAGGCGGAGGTTGCGGTGAGCCGAGATCTCGCCGTTGCACTCCAGCCTGGGTAACAATAGCGAAACTCTGTCTCAAAAAAAAAAAAAAAAAAAATTTAAAAGGGAGGCATTATATTGTATAAATAGAATGAAAAGTATCTAACCAGAAAGCAAATAAGGTAAGGATTCTATTATACTGAAATATTTTAATAAAATTTAAATATTACTCTTTCACTTTATTTGCTATCTTTACATTTCAGTATTATAATGTTGGCAAGTCTATTTAAGAGCACATTAGTAAAAATTTCCTTTTTCAGGCATGTGATACCAAGTCCCTTTCCATTATAGATAAGTAAGGCCTAGGTTGGTGAAAACCTTAGCTAAACACAAAATTTGCTAGAGAATCAACATGTTAAGAAGCTCTAACTCTAAGCTTATTCACCCCAAATATTTCATCAATGTAATACACACCCTATTGAACTAAGAAAGGAATTGTATTACTAACCAGCAGAGGGAGCCAAGTCAATCATGAAAGGTAGGAGTATAAAGGAACATCATATGACTTCCTGTTTCGAATTTAACTGTATGGCCTCTGTTTGCTTTTTGAGTTTACGAAAAAGACAATCGTAAGGAGAGAAAGGCTACCAATGTATATCAAATAACGATAGGGTGACAATTATAACTCAAGATTACCTTGCAGGAAAAAAATTATAAGAAAAATTGAACATAGAAATGTGTAAGTGAAATGTCTCAGTATTGTAACTTAAGATGGAAAAACCATGGAAAACAGTACCTCAGAGCCATGATGAATTGCTATCCAAATGTAACAGTGAATATTTCTTAGTAATTCCATTTTCACTTAAAGTTGAAATTAGGCTGTAAATAGATAACGTTTTAAGATTATAAAGTTGGTACAAATAAGTGGATTGTACATCCAATTTATGTGCATTTAAGAAGGGGTAAAATTTAATAAAAAATGATTACAGTGAAGTAATAAGGATATGATTTTTCAGCTTAAAATTAGAGAATAGGATTTTTCCACTACTGTTTATGAACACAACAAATAAAGTAATATCTGTTTTGTGAGCGATATTGGGAGGAATATAGTAACTAAGTTGATTACTGTCAGCTTAATTTTGTCTAAGAACTTCAAAATGCCTGATAGAATGGGTGCGTATTGAATGAACAGATGTGATCTATTTATTATTTGAAGTAAATCTGTAAGAGTTGAGCGTTAGCTAACTGCATCAAAATAAAGAATGTAAAGACTCAAACATTTTTAGTTAAATAACCAAATGAATTAGCTAGTCTAGCCCCTTGTTGCAAGGTTTGTGGAAATATACCAAATATACTTTCATTCATGTGTTTATTCCTTCCAAAAATATACTTCCTAAACACTATCTCCAAAGGACATGGAGCATATCTTCATTGTGAACTAGACAAACTTCTTAAATTTTATTGAAAGATTTAATTTCCCTGATATGTGAACAATCATACAAATTCAATATGCAACTAGTGATTTCAAGAAACTGATACTTGGAAATCACTTATGGGACTAGACTGCCTTTGTAGGACTAACAAATTAGGCACAAGATTAGAAATTAAGAGTTATGCAGCTGGAGGCTACAAGATTCTGACCCTAAACTGCTCCTAACATCAGTGCTTGAGATATTCTACACACCCTGCACTTGATGGATCAGTGCTGGCACCACCGAGATCAATAAGCTGGTTCATCAGATCTTGTAGCCCCCGCCCAGGAACTGATTCAGAATGAGAGGACAGCTTCAATTCCCTATGATTTCATCTGCAACCCAACCGATCACTCTCAATTCACTTGCCTTCCCTAAAAAATTTTGAGTACTAGAAAGTAGACTGTAAACTTCTTTTATAATGCTATATTATACTGGCATTATTTTATATATTGGCATCTGGTGTTAAGTCAGTTAATCATAGCAATGATATCCAAGATGTACAACTCAACAGTCCTAGAGACAGTTTAATACCAAAAAAAGAAAAACCTCAATGTAACCAGTATTACTGCTTGTAATTATTTGTTTCCTTTACACAGGAGTTGTGATGAATATGGGCTATTTGAATTGCATAAACAGCCTAACCTTTTAAATGTTTCCACTCATGAAAAATAGCTATTATGAACTTTTAAAAATTAAATTAATAAAGTGGCAATAGGTTTACCATGAACTATTCCTTATTGACAAGCATAATAGTGGGTTAACTAATGTCAAAGTCTAATAAAAACTATTTACTATGTCACCAAAGTCAACATTTCAGAATCTAAGATGTAGTATAGTTATTTCTGTTTTATCTAGTTTTCATTTAATAATCTCAGATTCTGACTAACAACTCAAAAACCAAAGTCTGGTGAGAAAATAACTTGAACCTTATTCCAAAGTTAGGAACGATGACAGGTAAGGAAAAGCATCAAAAAAGTGATTTCAGTAAAGAAGTTCTCTTTTCCTAAAAAATTAAACATAAA